TATTCTATTCTATTCTATTCTATTCTATTCTATTCTATTCTATTCTATTCTATTCTATTCTATTCTATTCGTTGTTCTTTATTCTATTGTATTCTTTATTCTCTGGTCCATTCCATTCTTATTCTGAATGCTATTCTATTCTATTCTATTTTATTCTATTCTATTCTTTGTTCTTTATTCTATTTGTTCTTTATACTTTCTATTCCATTCTTATTCAAAATTCTATTCTATTCTATTCTATTCTATTCTATTCTATTCTATTCTATTCTATTCTATTCTTTATTTTCTATTTTATTCTTTCTCTATTCCATTCCATTCCATTCCATTCCATTCCATTCTTATTCCTAATTCTATTCTATTCTGTTCTCGGAGGCATGGGAGCCAGAAGATCCAAGGATGAGGTCAAATGTCCAGTACCCAGAGCTGATGTTGCAAGACCTTGTCTCCAAACTCCAAACTTTGTTTTGCAACAGCAGCAAACAGAATTATGGAAAGAATGAGATTCTCGCTTCTTTCCTGCCGTGAAGGAAGCATTGCAGGCTTTGGTTGGGGGGGGGGACGGGGGGAGGGCAGGAGCCCAGAATAAAATTGGACATAGAGATCTGATGTCCAAGTTGGGGGGTGGCCCCTGCACCCCTCCAATCCAATGTGTCCTTTGGGGCAAGTTTCACTTGCTTTTGAAATGGTGACGAAGCTGCTATCGACGCTTCCTTTTCTAGATCAAAATACAAAAGAAAAATGGAGAAATGGTACCGTTCGAATGTGAGCCCCTCCCCGACGACCTGCCCCCCTGCAAAGAGAAGATGTCTGCAGTCTACATGCCTGCCAGTGCCCTCAACGCTGTCCTGGCCTTGGTCCACCCCCTTTTCAACACCGCTCTGACCAAAGTGAAGGTGAGGGAACATTCCTGAAAACTGGAGGGAGAAGCCACCTTGGATTCATTGATACCTGACGGTCCCCTCTTATTCTTTGCATTTGGCAGGTTGAGTCTTTGGGGGTGGGAGGCAAAGCCAAAAAGGGGGGGAGGGAGGATGGAACAGAGGGAGGGGTGAAAGAAGGAAGTTTGATCTTCAGGAGGGAAAGAATGAAGGAAGGAAGGAGGGAAGGAGAGGGGAGGAACAGAGGAAGGAAGGAACAGAGGGAGGGATGAAGGAAGGAAGTTTGATCAGGAGGGAAGGAAGGAAAGAACAGAGGGAGGGAGGGATGAAGGAAGGAAGTTTGATCTTCAGGAGGGAAAGAAGGAAGGAAGAAAGGAGGGGGAGGAACAGAGGAAGGAAGGAACAGAGGAAAGGAGGGATGAAGGAAGGACGTTTGATCTTCAGGAGGGAAGGAAAGAAGGAAGGAGGGGGGAAGGAAGGAAGGAACACAGGGAGGGAGGGAGGGAGGGAGGGAGGGAGAAAGTAAGTAAGTGATCTTCAGGAGCGAAGGAAGGAAGAGAGGAAAGAAGAAAGGGGGAGGGAGGGATGAAAGAAAGAAGTTTGATTTTTAGGAGAGAATTAAGGAAAGAAAGAGGGAGGGAGGGAGGGATGAAGGAAGGAAGTTTGATCTTCAGGAGGGAAGGAAGGAAGGAGGGAAGGAGGGGGAGGAACAGAGGAAGGAAGGAACAGAGGGAGGGAGGGATAAAGGAAGAAAGAAAGTTTGATCTTTAGGAGGGAAGAAAGGAAAGAACAGATGGAGGGAGGGATGAAAGAAGGAAGTTTGATCTTCAGGAGGGAAGGGAGGAAGGAAGGAGGGTGGAGGAACAGAGGAAGGAAAGAACAGAGGGAGGGAGGGATGAAGGAAGGAAGGAAGTTTGATCTTCAGGAGGGAAGGAAGGAAGGAACAGAGGGAGGGAGGGATGAAGGAAGGAAGTTTGATTTTTAGGAGGGAAAGAAGGAAGGAAGGAAGGAGGGAAGGAGAGGGGAGGAACAGAGGAAGGAAGGAAGAGAGGGAAGGAGGGATGAAGGAAGGAAGAAAGTTTGATCTTCAGGAGGGAAGGAAGGAAAGAACAGACGGAGGGAGGGATGAAAGAAGGAAGTTTGATCTTCAGGAGGGAAGGGAGGAAGGAAGGAAGGTAGAGGAACAGAGGAAGGAAGGAACAGAGGAAGAGAGGGATGAAGGAAGGAAGTTTGATCTTCAGGAGGGAAGGAAGGAGGGAAGGAGGGGGTAGGAGAGGAAGGAAGGAACAGAGGGAGGGAGGGATGAAGGAAGGAAGGAAGTTTGATCAGGAGGGAAGGAAGGAAGGAACAGAGGGAGGGAGGGATGAAGGAAGGAAATTTGATCTTCAGGAGGGAAGAAGGAAGGAGGGGGGAAGGAAGGAAGGAACACAGGGAGGGAGGGAGAAAGTAAGTAAGTGATCTTCAGGAGGGAAGGAAGGAAGAGAGGAATGAAGAAAGAGGGAGGGAGGGATGAAAGAAAGAAGTTTGATTTTCAGGAGAGAATTAAGGAAAGAAAGAGGGAGGGGGAAGGAAGGAGAGAGAGATGGAAGGAAGGAAAAGAGGGAGGGAGAGATGAAGGAAGGATGTTTGATCTTTAGGAGAGAATGAAGTAAGGAAAGAAAGAAAGAAAGAAAGAAAGAAAGAAAGAGGAAAGAAGGAAGGAAGGAAGGAAGGAAGGAAGGAAGGAAGGAAGGAAGGAAGGAAGGAAGGAAGGAAGGAAGCATCAAAACCTTCTCGGGACTCAGCCCAGAGTGGTCCATGGATTGTAGTTCCTTTTAATTCAGAGAGATGATGAAATTAGGCCCAGGAGGGGGGAGAGATGAGGGACGGGGTCTCCAACCTTGGCAATGTTAAGGCTTGGGGAGGACCAGGCCTTCTTGGGAAAGACTTTGGGTGGGGAAGAGATAACCGGACGGAGCCATCCGGGACATTCTGGATGGGAACCTAATTCCAGTTGTGAAATCTCTCCCCATCCGGATTCATTTCCCCCCTGGTGGGACTGTTTAGTGACCATGCAAAATAATTTTTTGGCTGTTTTCCACACATACGACCGTCACAGCCTCCTCATGGTCACGAGGTCCAAATTTGAACGCTTGGCCACTGACTCACACTTACGACCGTCGCAGCATTCCCGGGGCGGGTGGTGGTGTCCCGTGATTTCCCTCTTTGGTGCCCTTCTGACAAGCAAAGTCCGGGGGGGAAGCCAGGTGCACTTAACGACCGTGTGACTCACTTAACAACCACGGCGGTTCGCTTAACGGCGGCGGCAACAAAGATTCACAGAAAGGGCAGAACTCCTTCAACAAATGGTTCATTAGCCACACAAAATTTTGGGCTGAATTGTGGCCGTAAGTCAAAGACCATGTAGCGGTGTGTCCTTCACGAATCTGATGATCATTAGATAATGATCATTAGATAATAGACCAGTGTTTCTCAACCTTGGCGACTTTAAGTCCTGTGGACTTCAACTCCCAGAATCCCCCAGCCAGCACAAGGTTGAGAAACTCTGTAATAGATTCACGGTTGATTTCTATGGGAAAGAAACCTTGCCTTCCATGGGGGGGGGGGGTGTAAGGGTCTTGCTTGCCATTCTTGGCTCATTTTTTGCTACTCATGTATTTATCTCCCCCCTTCTTTTTCTTTTTTCCTTCTTGTTAGGGCGCCGCTCCAACCTCTGACGAGCTCAAGAAAATATTGCCAGGTGTAAGTTCCCTGGGCGTTTTGGGGTGATGTTGTGTTGGGAGAAACGTCCTTCTGGGTTCAGCTCCAAGTGGGGGGAAAAGACACTGGAAACACGGAGGCCGCTTGGAAAGATGGTTTAATGGTGGACAGGACCACATGGCTTGAGCTCCTGGACAGAAAAGGGGGATCAGAGGCTTCCAGATGTTGGGAGAAGAAAAGAGAAGCCGAGATGCTGAAAGTCCCTGGTTTTATCCCCTCTCTGGCCTTTGATCTTCATCTTGTATTCTGATTGGTTGTCAGACTCCCATGGGGGCCACCCAGGGGCAACTCTGTAGGGTGTGAGTCCAAGTTTGGTTGAGCATGGCTTCTTCCCAGGTGCCCAGTGGTGAGAGGGATAGAGGGCTAATCCTATCATGCCTTAATCCCATCGCCCTGGAGCGGAAGGGGAAGGTCTTTGTTATGTAGAATAGACTGGCTCAAGCCTTTTAATGGCCCACTGACAAAGGAGGGGGCTATTAGGAGGGAGTCTGTTTCCTGCCTCAAAACACCTTTCTCCATTTCTGATCCAGGGAAATCATAATATTCTGCCTTTTTCAATATTTCCCAGGATGCTTCATTTTTCTAGGAGAGGGGTGGGCTTTAACTTCCCACTTGTCTATGTGCTTCTAGAAATCCCATGGCCCTTTTGGGGTTAGGACTCCTCAGTGGTAATTTTAGAATAACAGGGTTGGAAGGTACCTTGGAGGTCTT